GATGAGGTCTCCAACAGGAGTCTTGGGGTGTTGCCAAGTGTGAGGGTCTTTAAGAAGTCTACACCTGTGTTTTCTGCTCATTCCACCCAAGACCTCCACTCACATTCAGAAGTTGGGCAAGTGACTTAAGAGAGAAACTGGTCACATTGAGCTACATAAATCACTTGGACCAATCCTAACACAAGGGAGTCAATTCGCTCTAGAAAGGAGCAATTCAGAATGAAGAAAGGACAAGTGGGTGAGATTTTCCAATCATCCATAAGCTGATTCCAACCAAGGTAAACTGGGAGACCAGGCCCTGAGAAGATAGCAGGACGGTTTTGAGGCAAGAGGCAGGTGCTTTTCCCACATGGGTGCAATACTGATATGTGATCAGCTCAGTCAGACTTCTTTCTGTATCTTACATCTTATCTCCTCAGAGAGTTGTTGGTTAAACTGGCTACATGACTAAAACTTGCCTCTTGATTATATAAGTTGGTCTTTGCAGAAAACTTAGAGTGCTGTAGTAAAACATTGTTTGTAAGTGTCTGCATCTTTATGGGAGAATCTTGTCATTTAAGAATCAATCTTGTATGTTATACCTTTAAGTAAAGACTGAATTAATGCTGGGCTGTGCTTTATCTGACCCTCCATTTTGCCATGAAACGGAACTTAGCAGAGGATGTCTTGAGTGCAGTGTTTACTATGAGGGTAAAAGTGTGTTTGAGTACATACCAATACATTTAGTGTTTAACTGAAATTACAGAACCCAGAGGAGTGACTGAGGCTGTTTATCAAATGCCCCACATCTTGGAAGCCTCTGGCAGTACCTAATCAGTACCTAACAGATGCCATGACTCAGGAGTGGAGACCAACTCCTTAATAGGAGTCTTGTTAGTGACAAATTACTAAATCAGTCTAGAGAGATGGACTAGATGATCCTTGTAGTGCCTCCCACCTCTACCATTTTATGATTTATTTGAACATTAGAAGCTGCATAAGATATGGAGTGAGAATTAGATTCTAGATCTTTAGGGAAAGGTGAGATTGCTGGCCAGGTCTCTGTTGGCTTGACATTGGAGCTTGTTAGCACATTGTCCCAGAGGAGATGGTATGTTCACTGGGTTGTCTTTCCTGGGGGAAAGATTTACAAGCACACCACAATAAATGAACCTTCCTTCCACTAAATGGACCTAGTTTATAAGACTACTTTCCTGGGTGCCTATACCTAACATCATACAATGATGCCACAATGTTCTTCTCAACACTTGTTCCCCCTCTTGGCTACCCATTATAGAAGGTTGGTTGAGTGATTGAGAAAACATTGAGATCATTCATCTAGTCTCATTCCTCAGCCCCTGCAAATTTTCATACCCTTGGAAATGGTATATCATCTATCTATCTATCTATCTATCTATCTATCTATCTATCTATCTATCTATCTATCATTTCAAAGGGCATAAAGCTAGGTGAAGCCATTGACTGACAACTGCCTTCCATGAGTTTGCAATGGAGGTCAAACCAAGGTCCTTGCACACAAAACAGGCAAATTAACACTAAACTGCAGCATTTCACCGCAACTACAAGGCCTGCTGGAAAGGGCATGGCACATGAGGAAGATGGGTGCCAGAACATAGGCCCACGAAGACAGGTTCAGCAGTGCGTGTGTGTGCATGCATGAGAGAGAAGATTGCTAAGCAATTAGATAGTATGCAGTATTGAAGAGTATTCTGAATTCTAGCCCCAGTCAGTATTATAAAACTCCTTTGGCATAAATGGTGATATGACATAAACGCTATCCATTTTAGGCAGTTTTACCCAGCTTTTAAACTCTAATTTGATATCCAGAATCTCTGTTGAAGAGGGTTCTTTGGTTCCCTCCCTCCTCCTCTCAAGCACACACACTTTTGAACAGGGTTTCTCAACCTTGGCAACTTTAAGACGTGTGGACTTCAACTCCCAGAATTCCCC